TCTACATGCTACAGCCTGTCCCACTGTTCTTTTTTACAGCATCGCATGAGACTAGTTTTCTGAGACTCCGTTCTAGTGGCTTGACTTTATTAGTGTGTTTCTTATCATTGCAACAGACTTTATCCTTTCTGTATGTAACAACTTTTTATGCCGTAGGAGTGTCTTTAAGGCCAAGATCCCAGAGGGAGGATTCATCTGAAAAACCCAGAATGGCTGTAGCTGTGGAACCTGAAGGACAAAAAGGACTTTTGAAAGTGAATGTAGAGAACTGTCACTGGGGACAGGACTCCGTGTCACAGAAGTACAGTCCTTATCGGAGGGAACTCTTCCGGCAGCACTTCAGGAAGCTCTGCTATCAAGATGCATCTGGACCCCGGGAAGTTCTTACTCAGCTCAGGGAGCTTTGCAGCCAGTGGCTGAGGCCAGAATGCCACACCAAGGAGCAGATTTTAGACCTGCTGGTGCTGGAACAATTCCTGAGCATTCTGCCTAGGGACCTGCAAGCAAGGGTGCAGGTCCACCATCCAGAGTCTGGAGAGGAAGCAGTGACCGTGCTGGAGGATCTGGAAAGAGAGCTTGAGCCGGGAAAGCAGGTGTGATGGGGTGATTGTTGGCTGGGAATGATTAGGGTGTGTGGACCAAAACAAAACAAAAGGCTTGTAAAAGAAATAACTGAAGGTATTCAATATGTATAACCTTGAGAAAAACAAGGTTTAGGGAGAAATATGACTGTCCATACCAAATAACTAAAATGTGGCTTTATGAAGACAAGATACACTAGGGAACAGACTGATTCTAGGCAGAGTAGGATCAGTAGGAAGTTTTAGGAAAGCAAATAGATACCTGGGGAAAATGAAAACTTTCCTAATGTGACTATAAATAAATTGGATTACTGCATTACTAATCCAAATAAATTAGATTAGGCATTAAGTATCTGCCTTCCATAAATGTATTCATGAGGATTCAAGTAGATGTCCAAGACATTATACACAGCACCATCCAAAAATTTAAATATATATATATGAAGATATATGTAGTGCATGTGTGTGCTATATTTGTAATTTTCTAGTCGTCCAGGATTATTTCTAATCATTTTATTTAAATGAAATAAATTTTATTTAATCTAAAATATGTAATTATGTAATCAGTACTTAACATGATATATTTTTAACGTTTTCAAAATTTCTTATGTATTTTACACTTAGCATACTCCAGTTCATACTAGCTACATTTTAAGTAATAATATTTTTCTATAGCTACCATATTGGATAAAATCTCCCTTTGCTAGGTCAGATTTCTCAAGTACTGTCCAAATCCCAAGTCGATGATCCTATACCCCTATAAGATCATTGGGAAAAGGGACCAAAGTCCTGAACTATATAGATTAAGCTTTCTTCTAATCATTGCAATATAAAATTGATTCAAAAATCTGTCACCTTTTCTATGCAGGGGCTTCTATGAACCTTTTATCTAAAGTTTTTTCAGTTCCCACAAAATCTGACATACTCAATTATACCACCTGTTTCTCAGATTGCAGACGATTCAGAAAGCAAGGACACGTTCATGGACAAATTGGTTGCCTTGGAAAAACCATATGAGTCACTAAATAGCCAGCCTCAATCAAAGAAGACTCCACTGAAACACGAATCTGACAGTGGTAAGGAACTAGAGTTTTGTGACCATGTGTTGCTAATAATACAGTACCACAGGCTGCATATGTTAAGTTTATTTTGGCTCCTAGTTCTGCAGTAGCCAAAGGTCTAGGGGTTGCATCTATTGATGGCATTCATTCTAGAAGAACAAATCCTTATTACACAAATTTTATTTTTCCTTCAAAAATTTTCTCAATAATCTATCCTACTGCTCTGTTATCCTCACTTATGATGGTACCAAATTATGATATGCATGTTATAACTTCTCATTATTTTGTAATACTTCTTTTTGATGGTTGTGGGGCTTGAACTCAGGGCCTGGGCACTGTTCCTGAGCTATTTTGCTCAAGACTTGCACTCTACCACTTTGAGCCACAGCAGTGGCTGGCAATTAAAGTGGAGATAAGAATTTCAGGGACTTTATTGCCTGGGCTGGCTTCCAACCACTATTCTCAGATCTTGGCCTCCTGACTAGGATTACAGGTATGAGTCACCAGCACCCAGCTTGCTTTATAATACATTTATACTATTTATATGTTCTTTCTTTTGCTTCACAAATATAGAATGACTTATTTATGTACTGTTTCTTACAGGTAGTAAAACTAGGATTAAGGAAGAAGTATCATCACATGAAGATATGCCCAAAGATATGGAATTCCTTGAGGAGATAAACAACAGACTTACCAAAGATATTCCTTATTATCCTGAATCCAAAGATTTAATGAAAAATGAGGGGAGATTAGAATGGCAACAGAAGCAAAGAAAACGATATAACTGTGATGAATGTGGAAAAAGTTTCAGTAATAGCTCAGACCTTAGTAAACACAGGAGAACTCACACTGGTGAAAAGCCCTATAAATGTGATGAATGTGGAAAAGCTTTCATTCAACTTTCACATCTCATTGGACACCATAGAGTACACACTGGTGTGAAACCCTATAAGTGTAAAGAATGTGGGAAAGAGTTCAGTGGGCGCACAGGTCTTATTGAGCATCAAAGAATCCACACAGGTGAAAAACCCTATGAGTGTGATGAATGTGGGAGGCCCTTCCGTGTAAGTTCATCTCTTATTAGACATCAGAGAATTCATTTAGCAAATAAATTCTACTGAAAAGGTGCAAGTAGAGACCTTATAAATCTGAACAAAGCTTCAGCCATCATTAAAAAACTTTGGCAGCAGAATCTACATGTGTATAACCATATCTAAGATACTTAGAGATAGGGTCTTAAGCAATTCACATCACAGGTATGAGTAATTAGAGTCTAGGATGATGGGTATGATAGTGAAGACGAACAATTTCAAAGAATGCTGCTGATTCTGCTGGTCTCTTTTATTCCAATATTTCATCAAGCATTTCAGCAATTTGGAAATTATAACATTCTATGTTGTTTATATAACAGGCAGCACTTCCTTTTAAAGTGAGTGAGCAAGAGACCACAGACAAGCTGGGGACCTCTACAATTTCCAAAAATGAAAAACACTTCTCTGGGGAAAGAACTTCACTATAGTTTATTCCTAAGTATTGCTGTCCATCTTTATTTTTCCCTTTTCTTGTTCTATTGCAAAGGTCCAGAGTCCAGTCATCTTACTTTTGCTTTAACATTTTTTGGTGCCCCTCAAAACTTCACTGGTGACATACTAGAACTCTACTCTGAATTTTTCAGAAGGGAAGAGAAAGTGGGCCAGTGCTTGGAGCTTGCTAGGCAGGTACTCTACTGATTCAGCCAAGTTTCAAACCCTTTTTGCCCCCTAGTTTTAAAATATGGGTTTTTTGTTTGTTTTGTTTTGTTTTGCCTTAGTTGGCCTGAACCATCATTATATTTATGCATCTTGAAGTAGTTGAGATAACTGCTGCATCAATACACTGAGCCTTTCCCACTGAGATGGGTCTTATGAACTTTTCTATCTGAGCTGGCCTGGAATTGTGAACCTCCCAATCTCAAGATTCCCAAGTAGTTAGGAATACATCTATGAGCCACTGCACTGGCTTCAATCTCTTTGGTTTGTTGTTTGTTTGGTTTTTTTCCTTTCCCATATTGTCACTAGTTACCAACCCATTTTAACCCAAGTAGAAGGTAAGAGATATGAAAGAAAAAGAAAAACTAAAGTGCACTAAAAATTAATTTGAAATAAGTGTTTTGGTCACAAGGTCCAGAAACATTGAACTAACTTCCTGGGTTGTACTATTTGCTTGTTTTGCTGTGATGATTAGATGGCAAGCCCTTTAAAACATATTAAGACTAATATCTGATCGAGATGGGTGGACAAAAATGAGGGAGGGATCAGAAATTAGGGAGAGCTAAAAACACTGGAGGTTACTGCCTGCAAGAGCTGATAAAGTAAGGTAACGTTTTGAGGGACACCAACATTTTTTTTTAAGTGATTGGGAAAGGTACAGAGAAATAAAATCATAGGACCAAAACAACAATGACACTTCCTACAACTACTCTGACTCCTGCCATTCCTATATACTCTGAAAAGTAAAAAAATCTTTATACAAGTATATAAAGAATGAACATAAACTTGTTTCCTGGATTTTATGGTCTTAACATTAGGATTAGAAGCTTATAAATGTATTTTTGTTTTTAAATAAGCGGTAATGGGCACTGGTAATCCTAACTACTCTAGAGGCTGAGATCTGAGTATCCCAATTTGAAGCCATCTGGAGCAGGAAAGTGTGAAATGTTTATCTTCAATTAACCACTGAAAAGCTGGAAGTGGAGCTGTTCAAGTGGAAGACTGCCAGGCTAGCCTTGAGCAAAAAAAAAAACTAAGGGACCGTTCCCAGGACCGGCAAAAATAAAAGTGGGAAAGAAAGTTTTCTACGATTGAAATACGTAAAGCCTGTGAAATATGTAGACACAAAGAATGTATGTTCAATTACTTTTTCAACAATGTATAGTGTAAGGTGTACAGTTCCTAAGTGCATTCACAGACCTATAAAATACGATTAGCAGGGATTTCTTAAATTTTCAGTCAATAATGGAGACCTGGATACACTGTACCAGTTCCACCTTGGGCCTCTGCACACTTGCAGATTTATCCTGGAAGAAGAGGGCGTTACCCTTGCCTGCCTACGCCAGTCTAACACTAGTCAGGGACGCGAAGATTTTATTCCTTCGATGTTCAAGGCCCGGGACAGCCACACTGCCTGGCACCCAGTTGTGCCCGAAAGGAGTTTGGTGCCAGCGTCCCTTTCTTCGGCCAACCATAGAGCTCTCAGACCTCCTGGATTCCTAGAGAGCTTCCGGAAGTGCCTTTGGGGCAAAATGCGTGCTGGCCGGTGCTGTACCTCTGTGGGTTTGGAACTTAGTGGCTGGGGGGCCCCTGGTCCAAGGGCCGTCTTGCGCGCGGTCCTCCCAGCCCCGCGCTCCCGCGGGATCTGTTCACCCTCAGCAGAAGGCCTTTCCCATCCCCTGCGGCCCCTGGGACTCGCGGTGAGTATGACCGGACTCCGGGCTGCAGGAAGAGGGTCGCTTTGTGGCCGGATCAGGCCGCAGCTGCGGACAGGCCTGTGGCGGGGTCCGCTTCCCCGAGGTCCGCGATCGCGCCGTGGGTCCGCCCTAGCTGCCGTCGCAGGCGGAGTCTGTGTCCCCAAACTTTTTACGAGAGGATCCTTTATGGGATTCGCTTCCTCCGTAGCCAATCGTTTTCTGCTGTTGTTTTGCAGTCGATCTTATTTGTGGTGTCAGGGAACTGCCCTCACGATATCTTTTGTCCAGCTCTTTCCATGGTCTGAATGTGTGTGTGTGTGTGTGTGTGTGTTGCATTTCGAGCTCAGTATAATCCCTATTTGTTTTTAAAGATAGGTTTTGCTTCCGAACTACAGTTATCCATTAAATCCCCCCCGCCACCCCTCTTTTTTTAAAATTGTTGTTGTTGAAGTTATTCTGCTCTTTTTAGTCTATTTGGAAAATGGCAGTGTTGAATAGATACTTGCACGAAAGAAACATTTTCAAAGTTTCAGGATAAAGGGGAATTTAATTTCAGGGTATTAACAATCGATTTCAGGGCACTTAGGGAATACTTTGCACCGGAAGAAAACAACTTAGAACTATTTGGGAGAGACATTCATTGAGTAATTTGGCATCCCCATCTCTCAAAACATATTTGCAGTCTGATTAGTTCGCCCAGAGTATTTGTATGTAAACATCATTATTACCAAATGCCCATATTCTAAATTGCTATTGAAAATGTAAAATGTGATGGATGATGGATTCAGCTAGTGCATCTGGAGATAACTACAAAACATAATATTTGCTTCATCTACCATTCCTTTATTTTTAAGACCTAGAATTTTTTCCCCAAACATTTCTCAGACTTAGACTGAGAATTCCTTCCTTTTACATCTGTTGAAAAAAATTCTGCTGTTCAGTTATTTTGAGATCCAGAAGAAGCACTAAAATGATCTCTTTTAAGTTTATAAATCAATAAACATGACTTACTCTTGAAGGAGAATGTGTAACAAGTAGTCTTTATACACAGATGCTTACCAAGTTAATACAAATATGTACACACAAAGTTATTAAAGAGAAAGATACATAGTGAACTAACTTTGTACTTGGTTATAGACTTTTTGTCTCAAAAATGTGGTGATGGGAGAAGGAAGGATTAAAGAATGGACTAAAAGAAGGACTAAAAAATGTAGTATTAGCCACTGAAAAGAAGGAAAGGGTCAGGGATGGTGGTGCAGAATACTCATAGAACTTAGGAGGTTGAGGCAAGAGGATCGCCAGTTTGAGGCCATCCTGTCCCACATATATACATGGCTATGTAGAAAAATAAATTCAAGCTGAGGAAAACACAACAACTGTTAGATGATTTGGTATGAAATGGGAACAAAAAAGACAATTAAGTGATTTTCATCAGTATCACTATTGAGAGACTTTTAATACCACATTAACAATATAATGTTCTTGAGGAGGTATACATTTCATTTTGAAATATTTGACAGCTACTGTTGACAATGATTGATTGTAAGATGGCCAGCTTTTCAGTAGTTAGAAATGAACCTTAACTTTAGAAAAATGTATAAGAAAACATAGTAAAACTGTAACTATATAGAAGCACATTCTCAAGTACCCCCCACCTCAGAATCTTGGCATCTTGCTCAAATTCACCCCCAAATCTCATTATTTTGTCAAACTGCATGAATTAGGCCTCCGATTTAAATAGCCATATTTAACTTTATCTCCTGTTCCTTGGTTCTTCCAACTTGTAGCTTGCCCTTTTTGCTCTACATACTATCAGCCTTGAAGAAAATGTTCAAATACCCTCACTTTTCTCTGCATCTTCTCTAAATAGGGATTTTTTAAAAACTTCCTAACATTTTTGAGCAAGTGTCAAATGTGTAAACTCTTTACAATTGAATGTAAAACTTTTTGTATCTTTGGGCATTTTTCTGAGAAGAATCGGTTTTCATTAGGTTAAAAGTTTATAAACCAACCCTCTTCCAAAAAAGTAATACCCAAAAGATAAAGGGTATTTCTTTAAAGACACATGTCAGGAACTGTACATTATTACCTTTTTTTTTTCTGTGAAAGAGGGACTTAGGTAAAAGTATCTGATTTGTGTTGCCACTGTTGAATGAAAGGAAAGAAATATTTGTAAATCATACATCTCATGGAGAACTTGTACTAAGAATATATAAGGAAGTCTCAAAACTTAAAGGGGAAAACTGAAATAAACCCAGGGCATAGTGGCACACACACCTATAATCCCAGCATTTGGGAGGCTGAGGCAGGGTTGCCAGCTTGAGGCTAGCCTGGAGCCTGTAGTAAAACAGTGTCTCAAATAACTAAATGACAAAACAACAAACAGAAAATACCACACTTAAAAGCTATTTAACATAGTAAGGAAACATAAATTAAACCTATGAGATACTACTAATATACACTTGTAAAGTCAAAAAAGTGTCAAGTACTGATGAGGAGAGGGAAGCAACTCACATTTCTCTCTGCTGAATGCAAAATATTACAGCCACTTGGAAAGACAGTTTGAAAGTTTCTTTTAAAGTTAAATAGTTATAAAAGTGCACGTGCACTTTATAAACTAATAATTTGGCTTCTATATTTTACCCAAATGGAAACAATTGTTTACACAAAAACTCATATACACATGTTTGTTTATGTAATTTCTAAAACAAGTCAAAGTATCTCAACTGGTGGGGAATGGATAAACATACATTTGTGTAAGGAGCAAATTACTTATACATACAGCATTGATTAATATCAGATGTAATGTGCTAACTGAAAGATGCTAGTGTCCAAAGACTACTATATCTATAGAACATTCTGGAAGAGTTGTTTACATTGTAAATGTTTATATGGAATCCGGGTTCTTTGGAGATCCATTGCTCCAATCCAGAGTAGAACTTAGACTTGAAATAGGAGGAAAGATGGAGAGCACGAAAAGGATATTAAATGTTAAGGTAGAGAAGAGGAAAGTAATAGGAAATTTCTTACTGATACTTGGAGCCAAATTATATAGAATTTAGTCTCTGTTGAAAAGGAGGTAGATTTAAAGTTGAGGCATGTAGAAACAGTGGTATAACAGGTGCTATAAGGAATTAAATAAGCAGAACTGAAGTTAAGCACAGAATTTCAGCTAACCCTAGCCTCCATGAGTTGCTAACTCCTCTCTATCCCTAGTCAGAAAGCAGGCAGGGGTTACTTGTGGGGTTACTTGGCACTGTTGGAATGACAGAAGATTAAAGGGGTGACCACCTATTTCTGGACAGTGAAGAGGATCGTTTAAATAGCTCAGATGAACTCCATGTCATGGTGGGGAAGGGGTGCTTGTTAAGGTGTCTTAGTAAGTTACTCTGACTTTTTTCTTGCTTTAACATTGTCATTTTTTCTTCTGGAAAATACCTTTGAAGCCTCCAGAACGTTCTTACAAAGGTAGTGGAAAGGAGCTCTTTTCCCCCTAAATGGCTACAGAATCAAGAAAGCCTGCAGCCCCATCTCCACCAGACCAAGCTCCTGAGGAGGATCTTGTCATCGTCAAGGTGGAGGAAGATCATGGTTGGGACCAGGAATCTGGCCTGCATGAAAGTAATCCTCCTGGCCAAGAACTATTTCGCCAACGCTTCAGACAGTTGTGTTACCAGGAGACACTAGGACCCCGAGAAGCTCTTATTCAACTCCGGGCACTTTGCCATCAGTGGCTTAGGCCAGACTTGAATACCAAGGAGCAGATCCTGGAGCTACTGGTACTCGAGCAATTCCTGACCATTCTACCTGAGGAGCTTCAGGCTCTGGTTAAAGAACATCAATTAGAGAATGGAGAGGAAGTGGTGACCCTATTGGAGGATTTGGAAAGGCAGATTGATATACTGGGACGGCCTGTAAGTAGGACTATGTATGCTGGGACGGTGGGACTCTGGGTAGCAGGATGGTGGCCTCACTTCAGGAGAGTAAACACTAAGCATTGGTTTCTTTTGGGTGAGTGTAAAAATAGTTATCATGTGGTTTATCCAATATTTGTAGAATTCTTTTTTTTTTTAAGGATATAGTTCATTTTTGTCCTCATAGCCTCTCCACAACTGTATTACTGTTCATAGGAACCTGATACATATAGAACTCTTAATTATTTTGCGGGAACACCTAAATAATTAAAGGTGAATATGAATCAGAGCTCAGGCTTCCTACTTTCCTGATCTAAAATTTTTTTTGCTACTGTATGGAACTACTTATAAGTTTCTGTTTGTTATTCTTTCTCTTCTCCTGGCTTAGGAACACAAAATATGGATTCCATGTAGCAGGGTGGGCATAGATGGAAAACTTTTCTTCCAGCACTACCCAGAAACAGTGCTTTTCTGGGCCACTTGACTTGTTTATATTCCTTCTGCCCCTTAAGAAATAAAGGAGATTTTTCTGCTTACTTCCCTAAGATGAATGCCTGTAGATAATCTGTTGGCCATTAGGTTTGTTCACTTCATTTCTCAGAGGGATGCCGTATAATCCAGCTGTTCCATTTTTTTTTTCTAGGTCCCAGCTCGTGCACATGGCCATAGGGTACTTTGGGAAGAGATAGTGCCTTCAGAATCTTCACCACGTACTCACCTCCAACCTATGGCAACCCAGCGTAAATCTCCGGTGCCCCCAAAGCCTCAAGAAAGTGGTGAGAAGCCAGATTTCATTGTTAAGGATGGGCAACGTCAAAAGGAAAGACATAAATCTGCCACCTGATCAATGTTTAGGCTTCAAACATAGGCTGTTAATCCTAGTGGCAAACTGAAAAACAAACTAAACAATTATGTAGTCACACATATATGTTACCCCTACATATTTACAACATAGACATTTTTGAGATTTTGCTGGTTTCATACCATTTATTTATGAATATTTCAATGTGTCTTTCCTCAAACAAGGGTCTGTATCTTAAATAGCCACAATAACATGAACACAATTAACTGAAATATGGATCTAATACTAATCTAGTCTTCCACCATATTTTGCCAATTATCCCAGTAGTATTCTTTTGTCCAGAGTCTAGCCTAAGATCACAGTGTGCAATTAGTTATCTCCTTAGTTACCTTAATCAGTGTAGTTCCTCAGTCTTTTCCCTTGAAAATCTGGACATTTTTGAAGAATTACAAATAATTATTTAGGATGGCTGCAATTAGGCTTGCTTGATATTGCCTCATTTAGATTCATATTGTGTATGTATATATGTCAGGAAAACACTAGAAATATGTCCTGTTAAGATACCATTTTTGATGTGTAGTTAAGGCTATTATTGCTCAGCTGATCATTGTAAAGTTACTGTTTGCCTCTTTGTAACTAATAAGTAACCTGAAGAAATATCTAGAGTTGGCAGTTACCCTAGCCCTCATCAAACTTTTGTTGCTAAAACACTAGTTTCAATGTAACTAGTTAATTACTGTGATTTTCTAACTCTGTAGTTTCTTCTACAATGATTTGTTGTTTATTTTAAGATATAGCATTCCTCTCCCCCTATTGTTATTTAATATGTGTGTGCATGCGAACACGTGTATGTGCAAATACTAGGGCTTGAACTCAGGGCCTCATTCTCGGCTTTCTTGCTTATGGCAGGCACTCTACCACTTGAGCCATGCTTCCAGTTTGATTTTTTTGTGGTCATGGGGCTTGAATTCTGGGCCTGCCACCGTCCCTGTGAGCTCTTCAGCTCAAGGCTAGTGCTCTACCGCTTGAGCCACAGCGTCACTTCCAGTTTTCTGGTGGTTAATTGGAGATAAGAGTCTCACAGACATTCCTGCCCGGGCTGGCTTTGAACCTCGATCTTCAGATCTTAGCCTCCTGAGTAGCTAGGCTTATAGGTATGACCACTGGCGTCCAGCTCTCGTCATTTTTTGAGAATTACTTTACTTTCTTACAAAATATAATGTCCAATTCTCATCTTCCTCTCCATTTTGTATTACTTGTGTATTTTAGTTTGTTTTATGTAAGTAAATTTTTAATTTTTTTTTTATTTTTGATTTTTGGGTCCGGTCGTGGGGCCTGAACTCTGGGCCTGGGCACTGTCCCTCAGCTCTTCAGCTCAAGTCTAGCACACTACCACTTGAGCCATAGCACCACTTCCAGCTTTTTTTTTCTGCTTATGTGGTGCTGAGGAATCGAACCCAGGGCCTCATGCATGCAAGGCAAGCACTCTACCACTGAGCCACCTTCCCAGCCCCAATTTTTAATATTTCTAAAAAAGAAGCTTAGAAGCACTTTCAATTAACAATTCCTCGTCTGAAATTTTAAACCTTATTGCACAAAGACACATGATAGATGGGTATAATATTGTTTTTAGTAATAAGTTGCGACACATGATAGATGGGTATAATATTGTTTTTAGTAATAAGTTGCCTGATACCCATTAGGAGCAGATACTGGCAGCCATGATGGACATTTTAGAACGTAATTTAAATTAGCAGAAAAAAGTTGATTCTCTCCTATTTCTCCTGAGGCTTTTTGCTAGGACATCAGGACCTAAGAAATATACAAACGCACAACAATAGTAGTTTGGGAAGTAGAAAAACAATTGGAAAGCAGTTCCTGTTAGGAAAGCTAACTAACTTTTACTGTAACTTCAGACTAAGGTCAAGGACGCCAAAGTGATGATTATCTGTGGACAGCCATAGTTAAGGACTCAGAGTCAAGATGTCAGCATTCTATATGTACAACCTTGGGATACATATGTTAGAGTACAAATAATTTGGAATGGGAGAGTGCTGGCTCCTACTACTACAAGACAAGGCTGGTCTCATTCATAGCTTCTTTCTGCTCTCAGCCATGTCTACTTCTCAGAGTCCTACCCCTTCCCAGAAAGGAACTTCTGGAAAGCAGGAGATGACAGCTACACTCCTCACAACAGGGTTCCAGGTGAGTTATGCTCCTTCGCACTAAAACTTTATAACTCTTATTGGAAGTATTTGGGGCATCTGCCCACATCCAGAACTGTCTGTAGCAGTACCTATTCAAGAACACACCCAAAGGCTTTTTCATAGTGACAGATCAACCCCAATAAATGCTTTTCTTTCCAGCTATTTAGATCCTTTTACATGTTCCATTCCCACACCTTAATCCTCTCCCAATACTAGTAGGTTTTTTCTGACACTCTGGATTTGAACTGTGAAACAATTGTAGGCCCCAAATGAGGGTCTTGTTTTGTTTCAGACTTTGGAGAAGATCGAAGACATGGCTGTGTCTCTTATTCAAGAGGAGTGGCTTCTTGATCCAAATAGAGATAACAGGCCAGAGAATTACAGGAATATGTTCTCCCTGGGTAAGGAGAGCTGTGTTTATTACAATATAAGAACTTTTGTTTGTTATGTAAATGGTAGCTATGAACTTTATGGAAGATATAGTTAAGTTTAAATTCAGAGTCCAACAGAGAGACACAGAGTTGAGATTTCTTGAGGTCTAAACCAATTACTTTGTTTTCCAATCTAGGAATTCCTTACACTTTATATGTGAGTGTTAATTCTGTTTGCCAGTTGGAAATTGATATCTCTCTAGTTCCCATAGGATCCTTACATAGATTTTTTTTTTTAACTAAGCCTGTCATGCTTCTTCCTTTTTTCAGGGCATTACCCATTTCTGTCTTAAATTTACTACAAGTTCTAAGTTTTCGTAGTTTCATATTCCTTCCCATTCTCCAGCTTCTACCTCAAAGAGGAGCCCTTCCCACGTTAGTCTTCCTTCAGTAGGCCCCTTATCATGACCCTTTTTCCCCACGTAGCCTCTATTATGTCTCCCTCTGTTACGAAGCCATTTTGAAGATAGAAATTTTTTGTGTATTTCGGCTGTTATATGTGTATTTTCCTTTTCCCCTATCTTCATTTATTTTCTACTAGTATAGACACTAGAAAGTGACATTGGCTTGATGTGTGGTTTTCTTTTGTTTTTTGTTTGTTTGTTGTTTGTTTTTTAATGGTCATAGAGCTTGAACTCAAGGCCTAGGTGCTGTCCCTGAGCTTTTTTCTCAAGACTGTCACTTTACCACTTTGAGCCACAGCTCCATTTCCAGTGTGGTGGTTAATCAGAGATGAGAGTCTCACAGACTTTTCTGTTTGGTCTGGCTAAGAACCGTGATCCTCAGATCTCAGCCTCCAAAGTGGCTAGGAATACAGGTGTGAGTCACCAGTGCCTGGCATGTGTATTGTTTTTATTTCAGGCGGTGAGACCAGGAATGAGAACAAGGAATTAGCTTCAAAACAGGTAATATCTCCTGGAACCCAACCACATGGAGAGACAGCTGCCAAATGCAACGGGGATGTTATCGGGGGTCTTAAGCAAGGAGAAGCCCGAGACCCTTTGGGCAGATTAGAGAGGCAGCGGGGAAATCCCACACAAGAAAGACGACATAAATGTGATGAATGTGGAAAAAGCTTTGCTCAGAGTTCAGGCCTTGTTCGCCACTGGAGAATACACACTGGGGAGAAACCCTATCAGTGTAATGTGTGTGGGAAAGCCTTCAGTTATAGGTCAGCCCTTCTTTCCCATCAAGATATCCACAACAAAGTAAAACGCTATCACTGTAAGGAATGTGGTAAAGCCTTCAGTCAAAACACAGGCCTGATTCTGCACCAGAGAATCCACACTGGGGAGAAGCCGTATCAGTGCAATCAGTGTGGAAAGGCTTTCAGTCAGAGTGCGGGCCTTATTCTGCACCAGAGAATCCACAGTGGGGAACGACCCTATGAATGTAATGAATGTGGGAAAGCTTTCAGTCATAGCTCACACCTCATTGGACATCAAAGAATCCACACTGGGGAGAAACCCTATGAGTGTGATGAGTGTGGGAAAACCTTCAGGCGGAGTTCACATCTTATTGGTCATCAGAGGAGCCACACTGGGGAAAAGCCTTACAAATGCAATGAGTGTGGGAGGGCCTTCAGTCAGAAGTCAGGCCTTATTGAACACCAGAGAATCCACACTGGAGAAAGACCCTATAAGTGTAAAGAATGTGGGAAAGCTTTCAATGGGAACACTGGCCTTATTCAACATTTGAGAATCCACACAGGGGAAAAGCCCTATCAATGCAATGAGTGTGGGAAAGCGTTTATTCAGAGGTCTAGTCTTATTCGACATCAGAGAATCCACAGTGGAGACAAATCTGAAACTATAGGAGTTTAGGAAAAGCTTTGGTCATAGTCTCAAGATTATTCAACTTAAGAGAAACCATATACTGTTGGAAAAATCTTTCAATGTAGTACAAAAAAATGGCAGAAAGCTTATTGTCTAATGACAAATCTTTAGTGGTGTCAAAGATAAGAATAGATCTTCAGTAGTTTGGGCTCAGTACATTGATTAGCTTAATTACTATTTTTGGAAGTATCTGATGGAGCACTACTTCTGACAGCATAATGAATCCTTTAGAAATTGAAAATAGCATTATAGCAAGTTGCTTGTCGTGGCTTGAGGCACTAAACTTTTGGGTGAGTAGCTATAGATTTGAGAGAGGCTGCTGCTCCTGGCCTCTCTGCTCTCATCTCCTGTGATCCCCTCCTCTCACTTGTAATTCGTTGTCTGATCTAAGAAGCTGTTCTAAAGTCCAAAGCAGCTTCTCGATGATACTTATATTTGTATTTAGCTTTTGAAGATCCTAGTTCTAGCGAGATTTTTACAGACACTTAAACATATTTGTGCTTAAGTGTTTCATTTTTTTATCCTAATATTCCTTCTAGTTGTGAAAAATGCATATTCCCATGCAGATTCAGAATGCTATATTTTTAACAGCACTCCAGCATTTTTCTTCATTCATCATTTTTACTGGCCACTGAGTCATTGAGCATCTGTCCTTATTTTTCACCACCCCAGTCCCAGTACCTGTGTCAGCAAAGGAAGTGGACGTATTAGTGATGATTTTGAGAGTGATGCAGAGAAAGAGGTGAGTGGAGACTCAGCCTGGCTGTTCTTGAGCTTGGATAGTTGTACATGGTGGTTACCTCTGATTCTCCTCCACCTTCTTGTGTATACTGCCCAAAAGATGTTTGCACTGCCCTACTTATGGTGTCACATAGGAAAAAGAGGAGATGGGGGTAGGGTTCTTGAAGAAGACATAAAACTCTTACAAAGAATTACGTCATCCCTTTTAGGCCACTGCAGTACTGCTCTCTCAGGTTATTATCAGTCTGCACAGATATCTTAACTAGATGGTTTTTCTTGTCATTACCCCAGGTCTACCTTCTTACATGGCCACTGATCATTTTCCATCTGTTTTTTGCCATTCATTTGTACAACATTAATGTCTACAATCTGTTTGGAATTCTAGTGTGCTCCATGAGAACTGGTGTCTATAATCTCAGAACAAAGACACACTATTAAACTTGTCATCACTAGGCATAGTTCATCCTTTAGGTTTTCAGTATGCCAAGGGTTACAGTATAGAGTGAGAGTAGTTTCCAGTAACATGTCAGATCTTATACATTGCAAATGAGGTATCCTTTAAATTGAGTAGTTCTATTTTAAACTACTATTATTTTTGATAGTATTGCTATTCTTCCAAATATTTGGAAATTCCTATTTTATCAACCCTGCAAGAAAACACTATTCCTATGTCACATTTTGGTTTTGATCATTGGTTAGCCATGTATTTAGAATAACTTTGCTTTCCAGAATTAACCCTCACACATGAAATTATTCCATAAGCCTATTAGGAAAAAAAACTATGTGAGTTTTCATGAAAACTCCAAGAGAAATAACATGATTTCACACTGTGATTATCCCAGAAAAGGATAATAGTTATGATTGATATGTTTTACAAAATCAGTCATAGATTCTTACCTCATAGAGTCCACCTTTTGGCTCATAAATTCTTGATGACATTTCTCTACCTCCTGTGGCTCACCTTTGATCACAAACATTCTTCACTGAGCCATTGTACTTATTCATCACTTGTCCTAGTTTCTTCGATTAACTTTCGCAGGAGTCTTTTTCATTCCCTCTTTTAATCTCTTCCTCTACTCCCTCTCCCCCACATATAGATTAGCAGTTCTCACTCCCTGTACTTGACTTTCCAAGAAACCAGAAACAAGTATATCTAGGACTGCCTGAATCCTTGTTCCCTGCCTGGGTTGTGCCTTACCCCCTGTAAGATAATAATTCTGTCTGAGGCCACTGTTACCTTATATCCAAGTATTTCATAGGATGGCTAATTTGTCAGAGGGAAAATAAATATGTGTGCCCATCTGTGTGTATACATCTACTTTTCTCATGTTTTCAAGGAACACTTGCCTTCGATTCCAATAAACACCTATTTTAGCAGCGCATCATAATGAAATGTCTGTAAATGTAGTGCCTCTTTAGGCATTAGTACCCACCATAATGTGTAGCCAGATTATTAAAGTCTCAAAATTACTAAGCCTCTGGCGGTAAGCTAGTATATGTATTATCCTGGGATAAATGTGAGAAAAGATTGTCACTTAAAGGCTTTCAAAGCTCATTCAGCATATATATCAAAATAGCAACATGGTATCAAAGATGATCATTTTTTTTAAGAGGCTGCATAGAATTTTAGCACTAGAATATTGCTGATCAGACTATATGACATTATTTTGAGCTCATACCTATGAAGGGATACATTATATTCCTTATGTTTTTATGCTCTCAATGAACTATTCACCAAAACTTTCTTCTATCTTCAGTTAGAGGCTGACATAATAAAATGGTTCTTCCGCAACTCTTATTGCTATCAAATATAGCCCTAGGAGAGGCATCTTAGATTTCAGAGAATTTTCTCTGAGGCTCAGCAACCATGCTAGAATTTGATGGTTGATTCCCAAATGGAAGAGTTTAGCTTTACTCTTGGTTCTAGTCTCCAGATAATATGGGGCACTAACTCTACCAGACTTACATTAAGCATTTCTGCTACTTATGATAGATTTGATTCAATTTATAGATGGCAAAACATAGTTTTGAGAACTGATGAATGTCACACAGACAGTAAATGGTACAACAAACATTCAAACTTACACAAACCTGGGCACTTGACCTTGATGCTATACCATGTATAATGAACATATCATAACTCTGGACAGCCATTATGTATCCCTGAGTAAGATAATGTACAAGATAGTACAGATCTATTTCAATTACTTGAAAATAGCACTTTGGGTTTTATCATTTTCAACTATTGGTGCTTTTGATGCTTTTCAGTATGAGATAGCTAAAGCATATAAAAAGTAATGTGAGGATAAAACAACTTACAAATTGAAATACATTTACTTTCTAAACTGACTAGAAAAAAGTAAATTGTGAAAAGACATGAAATATCTCTGCTCCTCTCTGGGCAAATGGACAGTTAAGAGAATAATAGTAAGTTAATTTATAGCCTAAAATATAAAGACTCTTTAGCCTCTCCACCCATTTCCAATAACAGTCCCATTTCTTCTCTATTATGCTTGGTCTTTCAAATGCATCATCTAATTTACCACATTGTCTCCATTCTTAAAACTTCTTACTAATTTTTTCCTGTATTGTGAATAGGGCTTGAACTCAGGCCATTGTGCTCCCACTCCGCTTTCTTGCTCACAAATGGCACTCTACCATTTGAGCCACACCTCCAGTCCAGTATTTGGCTAGTTCATGGATATGGAGTGTCTCAGACTTTTCTGCCCGAGCTGACTTGACTTCAATTCTCCAGGTCTCAGCCTCCTGAGCATCAAGGATTACAGGTGTGAGCACTAAGCTCCTTACTAGTTTTCATACTCAGCATTGAAATGTCCTTAGAATGCCAGTAAGTAATATTAAGACTTGGAGGGGAGAGAAGGCAGATTGGTTTTTTGAGATAGAGTCTATGTAGTCCAGGCTGATCTGGAACTCACTGTGTAGCCCACGGCCTCAAATTCACAATCTTCCTGTCTTAGCCTCCCAACTACTGGGATTACAGGCAAGATCCACCTTGCTTAGTTTCATTCCTGTCCTCTGCAATTTCATTTATAGTTCATATTGTTGAATTCCTTCTGCACCTCAGGATTTCTTTTTTCCTTTAGCTTATGAAATACTGTTAGGCCATTTTTCTCTATCTGGCTTTTCTAGTCTTTTTTTCCTCTTATATACCAATAATAATCTCTGTGTCTTATTTTTACGCACTACTTTTTCTGTATTCCTACCTATTCATTTGTCTACTTTTTATATTTGAGTGACTTCGTATTTCCTACCATGTGTGTCATATCTGAACTTGTGGAATTTTCCACAGGTTCTTATACAACCTGGTATTTAAAGCAAAGCTTGTCGCTCTTTTTCCCCAATCTCCAGTTAACTTTCAAATAAAGTAGCAGGAGCGCTCAATACCTTTTACATTTTTCATTCCAGTCTTGAAGTTACCTTTTCATCTTTTTCTGCTCTCCACTCTTCATGTCCAAAATTTTGCTGATCTAATTCTTAGTCTTCCTCTTGAGTCTTGATGTGTTACATTGTTACCATCCCCTACAGTCTTCCATGCAAATCTATATCTTTTAACGCCTAGATGGTTGTATTTTTTTTTTCTTTCCAGTTTTCTTGCTCTCAAAAACCCTGTGTTGGATAAATCTTCCAAAATGACAAGTCAGACTATTTCATGGTATCTCATTTTTCCTCAACACCTGGCAGGTAATTCTTATCAAAGCAGAGGTGTTTCAAGTTCTCCCGTACCTTGCCTTCCATGCTTAATCTGCCTCAACCTTCATTACTGTCCAACATCAGCATGCTCACCTTTACTCATTGCATTCATGTATCCTACAGCCTTTCTACAGGCCCCACCTCTGTGCCTTTCTCATGCTGTTCTATTTTGCTTGGATCATTCTTTGGCCCTAACTCATGTTCATCACTCCCTGTAAAACCTAGATTTCTTTGTTATCTCCTGAGTGAGCTGTCCCTGATTGACAACTTCACTCACAGCCCTCCCTTATTCTGTGCTCTCTCAACACTTAATCTTTTGAGTTTGTACTGTGATCCATGCACTTACCAAAATGTTACTCTGTGGTTATTTTCTAGCAGTCTCTTGTAGTTTCACATTTGTATTTATTTCAAAACTTAAATTGTAAGCTCCTTGAGAGCAGAAATAACTTTGACATTTGTATCACTGCACCCTCTAGTGCCTAGTACAGTGCTGAGCACATTGTAGGCGTTTAATAAAATGCTTGTTGAATTATTGTGTGGATTATTTGTGGCATTATCTATAGAAATTTTAAGCAGTTTTCTGCCTTCGATCACTTTATATGCTCAAAAGTACAACCTACCCAGGCACCAATGGCTCACGCCTGGAATTCTAGCTTCTCAGGAGGCTGAGATCTGAGGATCATAGTTCAAAGCCAGCCCAGGCAGAGAAGTCCCTCCAGTTAACCACCAAAAAACTGAAGTGGGGCCTGGGAAGGTGGGTCAGTGGTAGAGTGCTTGCTTCCCATGCATGAGGCCTTGGGTTCAATTCCTTAGCACCACATAAACAGAAAAGGCTAGAAGTGGTGCTGTGGCTCAAGTGGTAGAGCACTAGCCTTGAGCTGAAAAGCTGAGGTACAGCACCCAGGCCCAGAATTCAAGCCCCACGACTGCCCAAAAACAAAAAACAAATGAAGTAGAGCTGTGGCTCACAGTAGTAGAGTGCTAGCCTTGAGCAAAAAAGTTCAGAGAGAGCACCCAGGCCTGAGTTCAAGCCCCACAACTAACAAAAAATAAAAGTACAGACCTATTTCCATCAAGATTTGTTTATACTTAAGAATAGATCAAAAAGAAAAACAAAACAGGTCTAAAGGGGTATGTTTCCAAATTTGAACTTGGAAGCTCTTTGTTTGCTTGGCCAGATTTATTTATGAATTTTTTTTAAAAAAATAACATTAGAAACTACTGTTTTTAATTGTTAAAGTTACACAATGTTTATGAATAGAATTTGTGGACCTAGAGGTATGACTCAATTGGTAAAGTACCAGCTATGAATAAAAAAGCCACTCACGGCTCTTAAATTCAAGCCCAAGTACTTTTATCAAACAAAGAATAGAATTTTGTATCTGAGTTACGCTTGGAAGAAATGTCTGGTGACATTTTTGAGTGGTCAGTAAAGTACAAGGATGCTGCTAACCATCCTGCATGCACAGGACAGCCCCCACAGCAATTACCCAGCCCCAAAGTGTTGAAGGTGGAGAGTGTGTGGTCTAAATATATTCAAAATAGGAGAAAGAAGAGATGAAATACTAGCATTACAATTGGAGACATTAACCATACCAGCCTTTAACAGAATCCTAAGTATATGTGCTTAGTGTTAAGATTATTAAAGAGAGTATAGAGGCATGGCTGAGTTGATAAAGTGCTAGCCAGTGAGAGAAAGTATCATCTACCAAGTTCAAATCCCACTCAGATTTAAAAAAAAAAAAAAGATTATTTAAAAAAACTCATAATGAGCCAGGCGCTGGTGGCTCACGCCTGTAATCCTAGCTACTCAGGAAGCTGAGATCTGAGGATCGCGGTTCAAAGCCAGCCCGGGCAGGAGAGACCGTGAGACTCCTATCTCCAATAAACCACCAGAAAACCGGAAGTGGCGCTGTAGCTCAAGTGGTAGAGTGCTTGCCTTGAGCTGAAGAGCTGAGGGACAGCGCCCAGGCCCAGAGTTCAAGTCCCACGACCGAAAAAAAAAAAAAACAATGTTTAGAGTTCACTGTAACATGTATATTAGCATATTGGATTTTTTTAATGCTCTAGTGCTTTTTTTAGGTACATAATTATACATTTCAGTAAGGTTAAGGTTGCTTTCAACCATTGATCTGCCACCATCCTATATGGCAAGTGTTGCTGAAAAACAAATCTAGTTTTAGCCTTTTATATCTTGGCTCATCTTCATGGAATTAGAGGTAAAACTCTAGGAGCTATAGCAAGGGTTGAGGAGTTGTATCAAAGATGTAGCTTTGGGGACAAAAGCTAAATCTCAACTGCCATTTGTGCAGTTAGTACAAAAGAATAATTACTAATTCTCTCATTTTAAACCAATTTGCAATATAAACCATTCCCATAAAGTTTTCACTCTTAGTAAAGGTTACTTAGAAGGCACATGTGTCAGAGGAAATGTGATTCCCTAAATATTAAGTAAGCCATTAAAAATAATGTAATCTTAGCTGGACTATTAGATCAGAGGCAGAAAGAAGCATAGGGAGTTAAAGACCAGCCTGGGCTACATAGCAGAATTCTGTCTCAAAAAAAATTTTTTTTTCAAATCAGTCATACTTTTTCAATTTTAAAGGGATCAATCCCAGAGTTAGAAATTGTGGCTTTGGTATGTAATGCCCCCAAAGAACACCATTGCCCGCTGTGTTCAAATGGTCATAGTTTAAAAATAATACCTTTGGGTGTCATTTAACGTTTCTAAAAATGGAAGCCTGGGGAGGCATATGATTTAACTGTTGCTAGTGGTTCAAGTGGAAATAGAATATAGGTTTCCTGAAGTTTTTCTCCTTGTATATTTGGTCACGTGCCAAGGTCTGACCTTCATTCTGCAGTTTTTAATTCATGTTCTGCCATACGATGAGTTCAAACTACATAAGTCCACCTGAATATTTCATATTAGGATTATTCCTTTCTAATATTTCATATTAGGATTATTCCCTTTGTATACCCAAAGCAGCTATAATGTCTTGAGTTAAAGTTTTTTACATAAATTAGTAGCCTGTGAGCTTCTGCAGTAACTACACCTGTTCTAAAAATCCTGAACTCCTGTATGGGCCATAGTGTTTGAAAAACACACAGGGTACATACCAAGGTTGCTTTTTGAAGACCTGAGACCCTGTGGCTCTGGAGGAACTTGTAGAATCCCAAACAGATGTTTTCCACCTGTAATGCCTTTACATTTTATGACTCAGGGCAGTCCTACCCTGAGTAAAAACTCAGAAAGCAAAAACCAGTTTCAACAGGAAAACAGGGCCTTGCTAAAGTCTCATAGGCATGTTGGGTAGAAGAACAGCAGCCCTAAATGAAAGCAGGTCCTGTCCGGGAAGTTCTGAGAGACTTCTGCCCCCTCTACTAAAGCCTCAAGGATGGAATGTGGGCAGGGTTCTCAGGGTCAAATCGTGGTAGGGTGGGGATTATGCCCAAATGCAACTTTCCAAAAGCTTTTTTTTTTTCCCAAAAGCTTTTGTTGTTGTTTCTTTCTTTCTCTTTTTATGCCAGTCCTGAGCCTTGAACTCAGGGCCTGGGCACTGTCCCTGAGCTTTTTTGCTCAAGATTAGTGCACTACCATTAGAACCACAGCTCCACTTCTGGCTTTTTGGTGGCTAATTGGAGAGAAGAGTCTCATAGACTTTCTCTCAGGGCTGACTTCAAAGAGTGATCCTCAGATCTTAGCCCCCTAAATAGAATTTCAGGTGTGAGCCACCAGGGCCCTGCCCAGGGTGGGGAAAAGTTTTCTCACAATGTATTGTTGCAAGAAATTGAGACTGCTTTCCCCCTCAGGACTGTAACCTTGGCTTTTCCTGCTGTCTACCTCTAGTCATAACTACAGATGCATTCCTGGTAATTTTGGCATCACTGGCTGCCCATCAAACCTTCACCTCACTTTTCCAAATGAAAGGGAAGAAACTGAAAATAACCGGGCAGAAGAATTTGGACTCTATGGAAGTGGCGCTGTGGCTCAAGTGGTAGAGTGCTTGCCTTGAGCTGAAGAGTGCAGGGACAGCGCCCAAGCCCAGAGTTCAAGCCCCACAACCGACCAAAAAAAAAAGGAATTTAGACTCTAGATCCTTCCACGTCCATTTCTTGTGCCTATGGCATTTTGTTTTGAACTGTAGAATAATTTTTTTCAACTTGTCAATAAGCTGTCAACTTTCCATTTATCAGTCATTTTCATGCATACTAAGGCCAGGCCTTCAGCAACTTTGGTATAGTTCCTTAGTGATTCCCCTCCAGAATGTGTTTATTCAGAGGCAATGGTAGGGAAATTCCCTCAGCAGACCAGCATGTTATCTCAAACTAGCCCCACCTGTGTGTGTGTGTGTGTGTGTGTGTGTGTGTGTGTGTGTGTGTGTGTGTGTGTGTGTGTGTGATCTCAAACTAGCCCCATCTGGTGTGTGTGTGTGTGTGTGTGTGTGTGTGTGTGTGTGTTCCCTCCCCCTCCCCCCATTAGTCATTGTACTATACTGTCTGTCACTAAGTAAAAGAATGTTTCTTTTACTGAAGAATTCCTAAAGAAGAGCTCTTCAAGAGAATCAGTGAATTGCAGGCACGGATTATAGAAAAGCTGAGCGGAAAGTTGAGCGTCTGCGTTTTTTAGAGAAGTCAGTTTTGACGGTCTCCAGCCTGGCCTGCTGGGAGCAGCTGGAGCCAGCGCTGATCCCTTGCCAGTACTGGGAGTGGGAACGGCACCGCTGGAGGGGAGGGAGGGCAGGTTGCCAGGCGGAGAGGCTACACTCAGACTTGGCATTCTATAGTCTTCTGAAGGCTCCATGAGTAACATCATAGAGGCTGTTATCAGTGGTCTGACCTCAGAGGTTTCCCTTGCTTCTCAGTGTTCTATATGGAGGGGGACGGGTTAGTGTCGCCCCTACAGGATTAGAGGAAAGAAACGGCGTAAAACGTCTTCTAGGGAATAACGAGAACCCCTTGCTTCACACCCTCCATTCACGTGAGCTCACGAACCACTGAGAGGGAAGCCTCCGGGGTCCTAGAGTAGATCGCCGAGCGCTCGGGGATTCCGTCGGCCTCTCTAGGCCGGCAGCGGCACTCCATTTCTTAGTCCTTGGGGGTAATCACAGTTTTCCAGGTGAGTTACCTCTTAACTTTGCCATAGGGTTTTGCTTGGCGTTAGGGGGAGAAGCCATGGTACCGCTCCAGGTTGCCCCAGGCCTGTCCTTTCTCTTCCCTCGCCCCCCTTCTCTCTCTCCTGTCCCCTTCCATCCCCTTGCTGGCGTTACTGCCCTTTTTTTCTTATCCTCCCTTTGCATCTCTCTTTTTTCTCCTCCCTAGCCTCCATTACATTTTCCTTCCCTTCCGTTCTTCTGATTCCCTCCCCACGACTTCCCCCTCTGAGACCCTGGGAGAAGGAGAAACTGGGCCAGTCATTTGCGTCTAATCTCAGATTCTCCCAGGCTGGCAAGACTCTGAGTCTCAGAAACGACCTTGACTCCTTTTTCTATTCAGATACTCGTTTCTATTGGTCTTGTGTCCTCTGCTCTCGCTCTGGCACTGTTTTGTTTGTTTGTTTGGAGCAGAAGTTACAGGATTGGGGATAGGAAGACCACAGAAGTGAAATGCTGTTTTCATCACAATAAAAGTGTATACTGTCAACATTTCTAAAACTATTTGTAGCATGAAAAGGGCAGAGATAATTATTGGAGATATGGATGGATGGATGGATGGATAACATTTGAAGTCAAAATTAAGTTTATGCACAGGTGGTAAAAGAGTGTCATTAGTGTACCAAGTTCTCCATTGATCTGCTCCATAATGACAATATGGGCTGGTGGGACTCAGTGAAAGGTTTACTCTGTTACAGTTACAGAGAAGACAAGGCTTCCCTCTTGCTGAGATACTGTTGGTAATAGCAACAACAGCAGCTGCAATTGTGGCACTGTAAAGAGCATTTCTCTTATTGTCTGCACGTCTTTTCAGTTCAAGTAATGGGAAACATATCTGCCAGTGTTATCGTCATTTTTTTCACATTTATTTGTTAAATTTCTGTTTCTTTTGCCAATTGTATTCCCATGCTCCTTCATCTACCAAAATGGCAAATCTCTTCCATTTCTGTTGGTTTAAACATATTTTTAATATTAAAAAGTCTTCAAAGTAGGAGGTATACATTTTTGTTTAAGACTATGGCTCAAATCTAGGACCTGATGTATGGCAGCCAAGCAGTCTACCATTGAGTTATATCACAGCCTCTGTGTGTGTATAAAATTGTATATATATACATATAGATTAATGTTTATTTCTCATATTCAGATTCTCTCTTATGTACTTTACTAGACAACATGGAAAGAGTCTTTGGGGCCAGATGTTTATTGTTATGTAATTTTACTCTGTCTTGGTCCAGGGTGTATGAAAACATATGAATCCCATATGATTTGTACGTCCTAGGATTATTTAGCATGATTTTTTTAGAAGTCTGTATCACATTATAATCCCTTGCCAGCAGAGGATAAAGTATATTTCTAAAATCTTTATTTCAGGAATCAAGACCAGAGTTGTGAACCAAGTATTGACTTTGAAGGAAAGATTCTTGTAAGAATGGACCCATACATCTCTAGCATACATGAGGATTCTTTACAGATTCCTGAGTATGGAAAAGTCCCTCAATATGAGAAACAGTTAGAAAATCAGGAGAGTAGGCCCATAGAAGAAAAAAAGTATAAGTGCAATGAGTGTGGAAAAAAGTTTGCCCAGAGTTCAGGCTTAGTTCGACATCAGAGAATCCACACTGGAGAGAAACCTTATGCATGTGATCACTGTGGAAAAGCATTCAGTGTGCGCTCAACCCTCACTGTGCATGAAAGAATCCACACTGGGGAGAAGCCTTATGCTTGTAATGAGTGTAAGAAAGCCTTCAGTGTCAGGGCACACCTGATTATACATCAGAGAATCCACAATGGAGAGAAGCCCTATGACTGCAATGAGTGTGGCAAAGCATTTAGCGTGAGCTCAGACCTTATCAAACATCAGAGGATCCATACTGGTGAGAAACCATATGAGTGTGATGAGTGTGGGAAAGCTTTCAGCGTGAGCTCAGCCCTCATCAAACATCAGAGAATCCACACAGGAGAGAAACCATATGAATGTAAAGAGTGTGGAAAAGCCTTCTATGTGAACTCAGCTCTGATTAATCATCAGAGGATTCACTCTGGAGAAAAGCCCTATGAGTGTGGAGAGTGTGGAAAAGCATTCAGTCAGATCTCAACCCTTATCCATCACCAGAGAATCCATACTGGAGAAAAACCATATGAGTGTGATGAGTGTGGGAAAGCTTTCCGAGGAAGCTCTAATCTTATCAAACACCAGAAAGTACATGCCAAAGGAAAGTGTCACCAGTGATGAATGGAGTGAAGACATTCTAGAGAGCTTTTGGTGCCTCAAAAGAAGAGTATGAATGACTTTTTTAAAGTGCCTTGATTGACTCTTCCTGGGGATACTGGAGAAGTAAGAAGTCACAGAAATCAGATCCATCAGCATAGTGTAAGGCTCTGAAATCATGTCTGCTTAGGTGCAAGTTTATAACTAGTAAGGTAAACTTTAAAAATCATAATTCCATAATGAAGTTTATATTGGTTTAGTAAGAATGGAGTTTAATTAAATATTTTGTTTCTCTAATTATAAAGGACCTATTACTAGAAAGGTTGACTTTCTCTTTTTTTTTCAAATTTTTTATTGTGATTAAGTGGTTACATAATTTCCCAAATTTCACAGTACTGTGGGATAGTGATGCTTAGTTAAAGTCACAAATGGAGTTTAATTAAATATTTTGTTTAATTATAAGAGACCGATTACTAGAAAGGTAGACTATCTCTTTAGGTAGATATTTCGTGTGTGTGTGTGTGTGTGTGTGTGTGTGTGTGTGTGTGTATGTTACTGAGTATTGAACCAGGAGCCTTGTGCCTTTTAGGCAAGCACTCTGCCACTGAACTACATCCCAGCCCATAGGTAGATAATTCTTGATTGTTCTTGCTTTAAAAAGCCCTAAGTAGTTAATCACCTATAGCTCATGCCTGTAATCCTAACACTCAGATCTGAGGCTGAGATCTGGAAGAACATGATTCAAGGCCATCCTAGGCAGAAAAGTTTGCTAGACTATATCTCCACAATAACTAGCAAGATGTGAATCAACTGGTAGAATGTCAGGCCCTAAGTTCAAACCCCGATACCACCTCTAAGGAAAGGAGCAGAGGGGAGGAGAAGTGAGGAGAAAGGAAGAGAAGGGAGAGGAAGGGAGGAGAAAGGGAAAGGAAGGTAGGGGAAGGGAAAGGAAGGGAAGGGAGAAAGAATGAAAGAAAGAGACAGAAAAGAGAGAGGGAGGAAGAGAGAGGGAGGGAGGGAAGGAAGAAGAAAGAGGGAGAAAGGAAGGAGAAAAAGGAGAGGCAAGAAGGAGAAAGGAAGAGAAAAGAAAAAGCCTTCAGTCTTTGCTGATCAAAGTAAGCCCCTAAACTTGACTGAGATTCCTGAACCAAAACTAAACAAAGGAAAAACAATCTCCCAAGGAGTTTCTTGGCAGGGGCTTCTAACTTCTCATCCTTGGTCTTCAGTGTTTCTCTTAACTGCAGTGTGGCATATTCAAAGGCTTATAGCTATGAGAATGGGACAAGCTTGGAGAGTGGTTTTTGAATTGGGGTTTGCCTTGGGTTTTAAGGCAACTTTCAAGGAAATTATGTGAAGAATCACACCTAACATCAACTCAGAGAGCTATTGTCTGAGAGATGATAAAAAGTTAATGAAGTTAAGTTAGAAAATGTTTTTGTTGTTTGCTGAGAATCCCAGTAGAGCTGCCTAAAGGTCCATACCCTAATTTCTTGTCCCTGATCCTCTCTACGTATATGTAGGAGAGAAGTCTTGACTTTAAAATTACTTGGTTCATGTTTTCCTGTTTTAACTAATTTCTTACTTCTAGTTAACTCACTTAAGATGAGTACTCATTGGTAGAAATTATTGCAGATTGATGGATAAGTTGGAAAGAACACTCTGAGAAGGGGAAATGATGTTCAGTTTTGGAGGAGGGCTCCATGTTACAGAGATGCACAATTTATTCTGAATTCTGTCACCACTTCAGGCTTGCCAGCTGTAAGGCACACTTGCTCTATAAAGTTTCTGGCATTGGTAGAATGCTGGCCATCGCATCTAAGGAACTTTAAGCCTAGATATAAAGACAGAAGAGGTCAAAGTCCTAAAACTCCCAAGTTTTTTGTTTATCTCTCTTGGAGTGCTGGAAATTAAACCTAGGACCTCGTATATGTTAAGCAAGTGCTCTATCACTTAGCTACATTTCCAGCTGAGCTCACGTTGAAGAGATAGAACCTCACTCACGACACTAATCATGTTAGAGGGGCTGGGAAGATGGCTCAGTGGTAGAGTGCTTGCCTTTCATGCCTGAGGCCCTGGGTTCGATTCCTTAGTACCACATAAGCAAAAAGAAAAAAGCCAGAGGTGGTGCTGTGGCTCAAGTGGTAGAGCGCTAGCCTTGAGCTGAAGAACTGAGGGACAGCGCCCAGGCCCAGAGTTCAGGCCCCACGACCGGACCCCCCCCCAAAAAAACTAAACATGTTAGAGAACATAATGCACACACACTTATGTGCAGAAAGTGAAGGTCTTCAGCAAAACACCAACAAATTGTCTCTGCTGTGCTAGGGTGAAATTGTGATTTCCTCTGCTCTGCTTCCTGCCTTTGGTAATTAATTGAAGGAGACTATGACTCTTTGAGGCTATGTGGCTATGCCATCGCTCCATTTCTTTGGTGCTGTTATCAGGGCTTCTAGTGTTTACCTTTCTTACCCCTGATATCTTGGTTTGTTTCTAGGATAGAAGTTTGCAGAGTGCTTTGGATAAAAATAGCCTTCAAGGATCATCATTGAAATAATGTCATATCCTACCCTAAATCAACAGAATTGTAAATACAAAACAGTGAGTGGTAAGTATTCTGAAGACTTTGAAAGAGCAAAAAAACATTTTACTGAAAAGGTTAGTGTGAATGTAAGACTGAGCCTTATACCAGTTACTAGTAATACAAAAATAAATGAAATAACACTTTAACTCTAGGGGAACTTACAGTCTATTTGGGGACAAGAGAATAGAATTGACTAGAGAATAGAATAGAAGCATAGAGTAGAAAGAATAGAAAGAAAAAAGGAGAGAAGAGAAAGAGTAGACTTGATTTATATGAACATAATTCCTGGTGGCTCAACTCTTGGCAGCTCAGCTCAGCTCTTGGCACTACCTTCTCTCCTATTTCAAAAGTATCTTGGCTTTTCTTGGCCCTGTACATTTTCCTATAAATTTTAGAATCAACCTTCAAAAATATAATATATGAGGATCATGGATCAAATCCAGCCCAAACAGGAGGTTTCATGAAGGTCTTATCTTCAATTAATCACAAAAAAAAAACAGAAATAGTGCTGAGCTTAAGTGGTAGGGGGTAAGCCTTGAGCAAAAGGAGCCCAGGGACAGTGACCATGCCCAGAGTTCAAGCCCCAGGGCTGGCAAAAAAAAAAAATTATATATGCATATATATGAGGTATAGAGAAAGAGTGAGAAAGATAGATTTTTTAATTAAGATGGTATTCATTTTTTACATTAATCAAGAAAATCAAGGAAGTGGCGCTGTGGCTCAAGTGGTAGAGCACTTGCCTTGAGCTGAAGAGCTGAAGGACAGCACCCAGGCCCAGAGTTCAAGCCCCACAACCAACCAAAAAAAAAAAGAAGAAAATCAACATTTTAGCAAGTCTTCCATTCTGTAAACATGGTATAGCTTTTCATTTCTTTAGGATCTTTAAAAAAAATTATCCCAGCACTATTTTATTGTCTTCTGAGTAGATGTTTCCAATATCTTTGTTAATTTTATTTCTATTTGATAATTTTCCATTGTGTGTAAACAGAGTGGTCTCTTTGTTTTTATATATTGACTCTGTATCTGTATCTAACCTACTATAGATGGTAAGTTTCTCTCTCTCTCTTTTTCAAGTCATTGGGCTTGAACTCTGGGCCTTGGCGCTGTCCCTGCACTTTTTAGCTCAAGGTTAGCACTCTACCACAGTGCCACTTCCTGTTTTCTGGTGGTTTATTGGAGATAAGAGTCTCATGGACTTTCCTGCCTGGGCTGTCTTTGAACCGTGATCCTCAGATCTCAGCCTCCTGAGTAGCTAGGATTACGGGCATGAGCCACCAGTAACCGGCAGTAAATTTCTCTTTTCAGAGATATATTAAGACAGTTAAACAATGAAGTTGATTTGAAGGTTCTGGCAACTAAGAAGTCATCTAACTTGCCTGCAATTTCTACAAAAAAGAAAGGAAATATAACAGATATTTGCTTGGATTCCTTTCCAACTTTCAAATTTTTATAATCTCTCCAAATACATAATAAAGTACTTTGTTAATGTGAGGGCCTTTTCTTTGGTCTACTGTTCTCCATATTATGTTCATAGAGGATCTTGAATTCATATTGAATCTCCACCCTCTATTTGTTTTTATTAGTACTATTACTACCAATAACTATCATTTGATATGAACTGCTCTGTTCCAGGTACTTTTCCTGACTAAATGTTCAGATACAGAGAAAAGAATAAACAAAAGGTAATGCTCTATAAACCCATTTTGAGAATGGTAACAAAAAACAGGAAAACAACCCAGGGAAAGCAGAAAAAAGAGCTGAGAGCATGGTGGCACACACCTGTAATCCCAGTACAGAGGAAACTGAGAGAGGAGAATCACCAGTGAAACCAGCCTAAGTTACATAGTGAAACCCTGTCTCAAAAAACAAAGCACAAAATAAAAATATTAAAAGCATAAATTAATGAAAAGACAAACATGGAATTATATAAAGCTCTCACATATAAAGATTTGTATTTCAGGTTGACTCTGTAGACTATTCTCTTATATGCTCCATTTGAATCCCCCTTTCTGCCTTTAAGAAAAAGAAGCCAATTGTGTGATTCACCTGTTCTTTCAGGTAATGACTTCTGGCCTCAATAACTCACCTATTCTTTCAGGTAATAAATTCTGGAATCTGTATCAAAACTTTCTGGAAGAAGCTCAACTCAGAGGATGATGCCAAGGGAACTAAATAAGAAAACTTTTAGCAGCCCCACATTGAATAAATCTAAATAATTTACCCAAGGCACCCCTTTTGAGTTAGCAGATATATTGACTCAAGCTAAAGAAAATATTTTTATCTGATAAAGGGACTTAGGCATCTCAGAATTGTAAAACTCAACCCTGCTGGTGCTGATTAGACACCCTCCATTCATTTTGCACAAATTTTTCAGCTTCAACTGTCATAAAAGAAGCAGCCTCTCACTGTAAGTAATAAGCTCTGCCACATCAAAAACTGACTTAAGCATCTGTATATCCTAACTGAAGGAGAGCCCTGTGAATATCCTTAGAGATACTGAAGGCCCTTCAGTGTATATGATTATTTCACCAAACAAGACAGAAGCCTTCCTAGGAAAATATCCCATGAAAATGAAGAATGTTACAAAACCTTCAGATTACTGCAAGAATCTTGTCAGAATCATAGAACTCGTGGATATCTTCAGTGTGAGGGTCTTCTGCATGGACTCCAGTTTCACTAAACATGAGCAGGTTTGTTTTAGACAGGGGCCTTATCTATGTCATTAGTCTTATCCATGTCATTAGCCTTAAAGTACTATGTTAAATACCACCAAATTTGCACTGGTGAAAATAAAACCTATGTGTGTGAAGAGTGTAGTAAAAGAGTCCATTGTAGTTCATACCCACATGTGGTAAATTAAGGGTGCTATGGAAAGTATTTGGAAACCAGCACTTATCAGAGGAAAATCTGCAAGTAAAAACATGGGAGGGCTATCATTAAAAGCTCAATCTACCCATCAGAAAAACCACACTGGAATAAAACTCTACTCCTGTACCAAATCTTACAATGTTCTCCAGGTGCTTCAAGGCCATCAGAAGTCTACATGGAGAAAAGCTATTTATTTGTCTATTTATTTATTTATTTATTTTTGCCAGTCCTGAAGCTTGAACACAGGGCCTGGGTACTGTCCCTGGGCTGCTTTTAACTCAAGACTAATGCTCTACCAGTTTTATTTATTATTTATTCATTCCAGTTTTATTTATTATTCATTCATTCATTCATTTATTTGTTAGTTTAGTGGAGATAAGTATCTCATAGACTTTCCTGACAGGGGCTAGTTTTGACCTTTGATCCTCAGATCTCAGTCTCTTGAGTAGTTAGGATTGCAGATATTAGCCACTGGTGACGAGCATAAAGCTCTTTTAATGTATGAAAGCCTTCAGTCAAAGATCAGATCTTTATCAAACATCAGAGTCCACACTGGGTAGAAACCTTATAGCTGGGTCAAATGTGTGAAAATCCTTTTGACCTATTATCCCTTACCAAACATCAAATGCACAACAAACATGAAACTTAATAATCAAGTACATACTAAAGATAAAAGATTTTTATTTTTTCCGGTCTGGGAAGGTGGCTCAGTGGTAGAGTGCTTGCCTTGCATGCATGAGGCCCTGGGTTCGATTCATCAGCATCACATAAACAAAAAAAGCCGGAACTGGCTCAGTGGCTCAAGTGGTAGAGTGCTAGCCTTGAGCTGAAGAGCTGAGGGACAGTGCCCAGACCCAGAGTTCAGGAACAACAACAACAACAAAAAGATTTTCTTGGCCATAAAGCGCCGGTGGCGCACGCCTATAATCTTAGCTACTGAAGAGGCTGAGATCTGAGGATCGCAGTTCAAAGCCAGCCTGGGCAGGAAAGTCCGTGAGACTCATCTGCAATAAACCACCAGAAAACCAGAAGTGGCGCCGTGGCTCAAGCAGTAGAGCTCTGGCCTTGAGCTGAAGAGCTGAGGGACAGCGACCAAGCCCAGAATTAAAGCCCCACAACGGACAAAAAAAGAAAAATGTTGAGCACTAGAGGCTTAGACCTGTAATTCCAGCTACTTAGGAGGCTGAGATCTGAGGGTCATGTTCAAAGCCAGCCCACGCAGGAAGGTCCATCAGATTCTTACCTCCAATTACAAAAAAAAAAGCTAGAAGTGGATCTGTAGCTCAAGTGGTAGATTGCTAGCCTTGCGTGAAAAAAAGCTAAGAGACAGCACTAAGGAACTGAGTTCAGACTCCAGTACTGCCCCCACCCCCCCAAAAAAAGGAAAAGGAAAACATGAAGTTACTGTAACTGGTATGACTTTTCTGTGACATTGCTGGATGTTTATGACACATCTTTTCATTTTCTATTGTAAAGGTAAATCATTGTGACAAGTATCATAACCAGGGATAATTAAAACATTTGTCACATTGGGAGATTTTATTTGAAATTCATGATAATTAAAATACTTTTAAAAAACTATTTTGTCTAGCTACCTTTTTTTTTTTTTTAAAGAAAAGGCTGTGTGAGGCCCAGGTATGGTGGCCTTGTAATTCTAGCCACTTAAAAGAATCATGGTTCAAATTTAGGAAGGACACCTAACTAATTTCCCCAAGACTACTCATTGATTTGGCTATATCCAGTCATGTAGGACAGGAGTGGAAAAACTAGAATATGAGGAGATCACCTGATTGGTCTCAGAGCTGAAGTGCAGATAAATAAACAAGTGACGAGGGCTAAAACACAGGAACAAAAACAAGGCATTGAAAGAGAATTTTGCTCAGATTCTGATTCATAGAGGTTCATAATCAAATGTCTTCTTAGAAATTTTATGCTCTCCCTGAGGAAATGGAAACTGTAATCCAGATCCACACTGAGAAAAGATGGGAAGGGTCTTGGTCCCCTATAACTCAGCAAGAATTGAGAAATAATCTTAGCTTTTGTATGAAGAATATCCAGGCATTTTACTCAATTGGAGAAGGGGTGATAAATACCATCACTGTGGTATAGAATACACTTAAGAGAACATTT